ATTTTCGTACATTGAGGTGGTGCAATTGGCACATAAACAGCACACCCAAAAATTCGCAGGTGAGATATGTATGGTACCTTTCCAAACACCAATTAAGTAGGGGAATAACAGTGAGAACTTGTCGGCCTTATTTTCACGGGGCTGCTGCATGTAATATAACATTTCCCCAACATGATACAGGAAGTTTAGACCTCATCAACAATGGTCTAGCAATTAATTGCAATATTTTGATAAGGGATTCAGGCAGACCATTTTGCGTATGTACGTGGGGAACAAAATGTTCCACAGTAATCCAAATTGACATGCAGTAATAATTAAATGTATGTTATGAATATTCTCCAGCATTATCTAAACGTATTTTCTTTATCAGGTGATTTGGAAATTGTGCTCGCAATTTAATTATTTGTGAGAATAGTCTAGCGAAAGCTAGATTGCGAGTAGATAACAGACATACGTGTGACCATCGCGTTGACGCGTCAATTAGTACCATAAAGTATTTGAAGGGTCCACACAGTGGATCTATTGGTCCACAAATATCACCCTGAATTCTTTCCAGAAAAGTTAGGGATTCAAAAACCAACCTTTTTTGGAGATGGTCTGATTATTAACTTCCCTTAGGAACAGACAGCACAAGAAAATTCATCTGAACTCAAAATATTTTTTTTTCAATGGGTGGCCATTTGAATTTTCAACAATTCGCCTCAGCATTACATTGCCAGGATGCCCAAGTCGATCGTGCCAAGTTTTAAATTTGTTAGTAGCAATTTGCTCTACTAAGTGATATGTTTCAGCGGTACTTGAATAATATAAATCGGAAGAAAATGATGACAATTTTTCTTTCACAATTCTTTTCCCATTCACAATCTGAGTTATCAAGAGATACTTATTTTCTTCCGCATTCAATGTTTCAATGTGATACCCATTTTTTCGAATATCACTGAAGCTCAGTCAATTCCTTTGAGCTTTGCTCGAGAACAAGACATTTTCAATTATCATTTTTGTCCCTTTTGGGAGAAATACAGTAGCCTTTCCCGAGTCTTCAATTATTTTTGATGCACCACTAATAGTAACAATAGTGGTCTTTCCCATATTCAGATGGGAGAAATAACATTTGTTTTTCAGAATGTTGTGAGTCATAGCACTGTCGATAAGGCAGATATTGTCATCGTCTCCAAAATAGTAGGCATCCATATCTTCGTAAGAAGGCAAAAATAATAAAAAATATGTATTAGTAACATAATCAAAATAGACTTATATTATAGGGGGTAATACAAAAAGGGGAGCAAAAAACATCAAAATAACAAAAGAGATACAACAACATTTTATCATTTAACATCATCAGCTATGTTAAGCAGATTATCAGCATCCAGGTGCGTAATATTTTCACTCATCACATCGTCAAATGTGTCATTGTGGGCAGCGTGGTTTGTTTCGGCAGCAACTCTTCCTTGCTTTTCTTTTGAGGCCCGATACAGTTCAGCCAAGTGACTGACTATGCAACAAACATGGGCCCAATGGCCTTTGATTCCACACCGGGTGCATTCATCGTCATTGTTTCTGTTTCTTCCGGTGTTGAGCCTTTGTTGAGGTATGTATGGCCTTTTGTCATTATAGCGCCGATTTGGCACATATCGGGGCCTGTTTTGATAATTATTGTGATTGTATATTTTTGTCCGGCCCCGCCCGCGATTCTGATTTCGATCACGATCAATTCGTTGATTCCTGACCTGCCCACAACCACACACCGGATTTGCCAGATGTATTGCATTTGCCTCTGGAAATGGATTTGCACCTGTCGGCCGAGATTCATGATTTTTCAACAGCAATTTATTGTTTTGTTCGGCCAGCAAAAGACAGGTGATCAGCTCAGAATATTTCTGGAAGACTCTTTCGCGATACTGCTGCTGCAAAACCATGTTAGATGCATGAAAAGTGGAGAAAGTTTTCTCCATCATGTTAGATTCAGATATATTTTTGCCTAGTGGCGCAGCTGTGATGTTATTATGAACATTACAAAATTATATTTTTGGACTGTTTTAAAGTCCTGAAGCCGTAGACTTTGCCATTCGTTTCGTGCCCTTGGCAACAAAGTCAGCCTCAAGTGATCGTATCTTTCTTTCAATCTCTTCTACAATTCAAGTGGGGATCCAACGTTACATACTGTATTTTCAGTGCTTCATCGATGAGATGGCACAAAAAGATTATGGCCTTTGCACGATCTTGGCTCGGGGAATTTTTATCCCGGACAATGGTATTTTCCAAGCCCATTGAAGCTAGATGCATTTTAACATCGCGAGTTTATACCATATAATTTTTGCCAGAAATGAGAAGAGGGCCAAATTCCTATTTGGCAAGGTTAGACATAATAAACATATAAAATATAAAATATTACCTTGCGGAAATTAAAATATATAATCGTACTGATAACGTGTTATAATATCAATATAGAATTAGCTAATTGAAATATTAATTACTTCTACCGCTAACCACTATTTTATGTATAGGGGTAAACTATTTTTTTAGTCCCGTAATTGGACCCCCTTATAATTTTAGTCCCATAAGTGGAACCTATCGCAAACTAGTCCCATAAGTGAAAAATTTTCGTTGTTTTAGTCCTCCGGCGCCGTAGATCCCCGCGTAGCTCGCCGGAAACCACGTGTCCCGCCAGGTCAGCGACACCTGGCGAACACATGAATTTTTTTTTCATTTTTTTAATTTTTAATTTTTTTAATTGGACCAAATAAATAAAATTAAAAATAAATTTTTTTTTTTTTACAAAAAAAAAATTTAAAACAAAATCCACGTGTCCGCCAGGTGTCGCTGACCTGGCGGACACATGGCCTCCGGCAAGCCACGCGGGCGTCTCCAGCACCGGAGAACTAAAACAACGAAAAACCTTCATTTATGGGACTAGTTTGCGACAAGCTCCACTTACGGGACTAAAATGATAAAGAAGTCCAGTTACGAGACTAAAAAGATAGTTTACCCTATATATTATTATAATATATATTAATGCAGCGTATATATATATATATATAATTAATCGTATGTATATTAAATATCTATGTATATATAGATACAATGATTATGTTAGTAAGTAAATATATATAAATATATGCAGAGGAAAATATTGAAGATGAGAATGAAGACGAATTTGTCTGGTGTGTTTCATTTCATTAGAATGCTACTATTTATAGGCAATTGCAAGTTACATATAAATGTAAAATTTACACATATAATACACGTCGATGATATGTAGCGGTGAGTAAAAGCATCCACATTTGATCTACGAAGTGATTACGTATAGAACACAATAATTGTTTTTACTAATATATTATTAAATTACTTACTAATTATACTTTATCTAAATTTTTGTATTTATAGTAAACCGAACACAAAAGGTAAGACAGAGAGAGTAATTGATATAGGAGAGGGGGAAATAATCACTATAATTTTAACTTTTGTATAGAGTATGTTGTAATACAACCATGTACCGTTGAAAATGAAATTGTGGAGTCTTATGATATTGATGTTGCTAATATTGAGTGTAAATAAAAAAAAAAAAATGTACATTTTGATGGTTTAAGTGATCTTGGTATTGATTTTGAATATGTATTGTATGCGCAATCTGCCGTTAAATGACACATGGATTTTGAAAATGATAATACAACTATTGAAAGTGAAATTCAATTTGATTTTGATGATTGTGTTTAGAATGAGTTGGAGATAAATTTAGATAGTGCGGAAAATAGTGAAATTGATATTTTAATTGGTGATTTTCGAATTGTACTTCTTGTTGGACAACATGTTATGAATAAATATGAAAGTAAAGCTTTGGAAATTAAAAGCAATAAGAAAAGTAAGTTAAAAAATTATCAACTATGTAGAGATAGGACTAGAGTATCTCTAGTCTATCATCTGAGTTTCATAATTTTGACTCATCTTCTTTGACTTGTAATATGATTGATGACTTATATGTGAATCTATGATTGTTAGAATGACAAGTAATTTTGTGAATAACTCTCAATGTGTAAAGCATTACAATAAGATTATTAGCTCATTGTTCAATAATATAAAAATTGAATCTAGTTCCTAAATCATTTGATTGCTTGGGTTGTCATATGTTATCATTGATTGTGAATGATATAAAATTAATAAAGTTTACTATTTCCCTTGTTTGTATATCGTATGTTACATGTTTTTGTTGTAAATCGCTATTACAATGATAGTAATAGCTTTGTGCATAGTTGAATTTGAATATATTCCTATTAATGTGAATACAAGATTTTGAAAAATTAATAAGTTTGTATCTTGTATAAAAATTATATGTTTTGATGTATTTGATTAGCTGACGTATAGACTCAGGTTTTAATTATGTATCATAATAGTTTTGAATATTTTTTTTTTAAATTAACTTGTTTATATAATTTTTTTTTTTTGCATGAACCCTAGTTACTCTTAACCAAAATTAGGTAGAGGACTATTGAAATTTGGTCAAGGATTATAAATGAGATCAAATAATTACAGTTTGTATCGTCTTATCTAGTTTCTGTTTTGGGTTTCCTTTTTTGTTACTAAAAAAAGTATTAAAGCCGATAGCCGTGTGTCAGTCACTTTTTGAATATATTTCTATTACTTTTGTGTAATGTTTTTTTTTTGCTTTTCTTGTATTTTTGTGAAAAAAATTGCATTTCAATCCTAAATTTCATAACAATATTATTTTATGGGTGGGATGCTCTGATGCTTAACGAAGCAAGATGGTCACGTCACGTACCACACATATTTCACCTTTGCAAAGTATTAGGTTTGACGGATTTATCCAGTGCACACTTTCGAATAGCAGTTACGGATTTTTACACATCATCTCAGCGAAAATTTATCCAGTGTACACTTTCAAACAGCGACACCGAATTAAAAAAAAAAAAAAAAAAGAAGGGACTTGTCATTCATTTATTTATTTGTAAACGAATTTTCAAAATAATAATAATAGCAAGTTTGTCTTTTCCATAACGACGAACAATAGTCCCTTTCTTCACTCATCACCTCCAATCTCACCCAAATGAACCACACAACAGATCCACCGCCTCTGCCGCCGCCGCCATGGATAAACTGGTCGAACTCTCCGACCACGAGATCCGCATCGACTTCGCTCCCGCCACCAAATGCCGCACAAACCTCCATCTCAAATCCCTCCACTCTACTGCCCCCATAGCCTTCAAGGTCCAGACATCCTCCCCTCACAAATTTCTCGTCAATCCGCCCGGCGGCCTCCTCCCGCCGCTCTCCTCCGCCGCCTTCCAGATCGTCCTCAAACCCCAGTCCCAGATCCCCTCCACCTTCCCCCGCTCACCCTCCGACCGGTTCCTTCTCAAAACCGCCGCCGCTCCCGATCTCGACTTCGACCGGCCGGAGTCCGCCCGGTCCGAGATCGTCAACCGGTGGTTCAACTCCGATCCCCACCGCCGTACCCACGACGTCAAGCTGAAGGTCTACTTCGTCGGCCCTTTCCTCCTCGCGCACGCCGCCGCCGCCGGGGATTTCGAGGCGGTAAAGAGCATCGTGAAGCGACACCGTTCCGTCGTCTCCGATCTGCCGGTTCGAGAGGCCGAGTCGCTGTACCGAGCCACGGTTCAGTACCCCGACGTTGTGGGTCTGCTCCTGGAGTCCGGGCTGAGGGTTGATGTCCGTACGCAGATATCCGACGACGTCCGGTGGGCTTCCCGGGGATGGACGGAGCTTCACGTGGCGGCGGCGTCTGATCGGACGGAGGAGATCCGTCGGCTTGTTGATGAACGGCGAGGATTGACGGATAGCAGGGACAAGGATGGGCGGACGCCGCTGCATCTGGCCGCCGGTAAAGGGCATCTGGAGAGTGCTAAGGCGTTGGTGGCGGCGGCGGCGAATGTGGACGCGAGGAGTAAGGACGGGCGGACGGCGCTGTACAGAGCGGCGGCGAACGGAGACTGTGGGATGGTGGAGATGCTTCTGGAGGCCGGGGCGGACCCCACAATCGGAGATGTGGATCAGTGCCGTTCAGCCATTGATGTTGCACGTGACAAACGCCACGTGAGTTGTTCTTGCCTTTTTAATACATGCATTTATTGGCTTAATTATTTAACTATTATTAAAATTAATTTAAAGTATAGAAACTGTTTAAAAATTTACTAAAACATAATAAATCGCTACTTGTAACACCCTAAAAATTTTATGAGAATATCATACGTCAAACACTGAAATAAAAACATGTATGGACGTATCGTGTCTCAATTAGGACACTATAAAAAATTAACCTGACTTGAAATAATTATGTTTGGATTGAGATTTTTGAATCAAATTCGTTTAATTCATTTAATTAAATAAGTCAGGTTTATGTTCAAAATTTTAACCTGAAAATAATCTGTCTAACATATTTAATTAATAGGAGTATTACTTTAAATTTAATATATTTTTAAAATTTTACCAATCCAATTCAAATATTCATGGGCTATTTTATAAAAATAAAACATTCAAAAAATAAAATTTAAGTTAAAATTGTACAAAATCAAGATTAGACAAAGGAAAGACATTGATTTTTTTCAATAGATTAAAAACAAATACATCGTATGTTTGTTTGTGTACTATTGTGTAGTGTTTGTGAATTCGACTCTTAAATATTGGTTTCATGATATTAATAAATAATTTTTACTTTAATATATATAAATATTATATATTTGAAAATTTTGTTAGTAAAAATAGTTATTTTAAATTAAAATTAAAAAAAAACAGATTATACACGTCAGATTCAGTTTGACCAAATTAATAAAAAGTCAGGTTAAGGTTGCAAATATCAACTCATTTAATTAAATAGGTCATGATCAAGTCAAAAGTTTTTTAAACCGTTTATAACTGACCCGAACCCGAACCCGATCTAACCTGATTTGTTTGTCAGCCCTAGTCTCAATGCTAAAGCTAAAATATAATAAAAATAAGTACAAACATATTGTTTGCAAAAGTAATAAATATTTTTTCCAACACCCATAATTACTTTAAAATATATAATTGTAGAAAGTCATGCATGTTTGATAATAGTCTATTCCTATGATGTATCAAGTCGATAAAGATATAAATTTCAACTCTGCATAGAAAAAAGTAGTAACATCAGCAATAGTTGAGTAGAAAATTAAATATACAATGCATGAAATAAATTACCAACAATAAGGCTTAGCCAAACAACAAGTACATCTATCCAAAATCAACGGATTACTCAATTGATCAACCAACTTGCCAAGTACCAGCCAAGTCTATTTTGATGAGTCGGATGCTTTCAGGAATTGTGAACCCGCATGCTGTTGACCATCATATTGATGAATATGAAAGTGCATCTATTTTGAAATCAAACTTGACTTTCTAATGTTCCTTCCCTTTTTGATAATGTTTTCCAAATGAGGAGATGTTTGGTGGTTTTAGTGGTTGGTAGTTTGATTGCTTGATTGTCCGGTGGTTAACTCATTTAGGGGGAGCTGACTTAATTAGCTGCTCGGAGTTAGGGGGAGCTACTTGTTTGTTTGTCTGTTTACCTTGTTGATCACCTACCTGTTGCGTATCTGTTTTGTGGTTGGCAAACATCAACTAAAAAGGGGGAGTTTTCTAGTAGTTGACTTCATATTAATATTTTGGTTGATGTTTGCATGCAATTAAAATTGCATATGATCAAACTCTAGGCTAGCGAATCCAAGATTAAATTGAAAAAAGGCCCAAATGCGAATTACTTCACTAATTCTCCAGGCCCATATTTGATATGAGTGGTCCCCTCCATGGATAGTGAATGAGATCGGTTGTAACAACCAAAGGTGTAGTGTGTAAAGAAATACAAAATTCTTGTGGAAATCTTAGTTGGTTAGATTATCTTCTTGATGAATCCTTTGGGGTAATAAGCTAGAGGAAAAAAATAGTGAGGTATAGGTGAGAGAGAAGGTGATCAATGGCTAATAGGTGAACCTATGTGAGGTTAAATTAGCGTCTCTTGAGAGAAGATTGATACAACTCACTTGTAAGTTCAGCTTGTTTTTGAATGAGTGAAATTATGCGTGGGTTAGAATCCCCTAGATGTAGGTCTTGCATGATCGAACTGAGTTATCAATTTCGTGTGTTTTATATTTAAGCTTGCAGACTGTGCGTGCGTTGTTTAAATGGTTTGCAAACTGTCTGTGTGAATTTACTTGTGTCTGGGTTTGTGCAGTTTGATCATTGCTGCTGTTATTTGTTTATTGTTTGGTCTTGAGCGAATTTTGGGGCCAACAAAGTCTAGCCAAATTAACGGCTTATACAATTTATCAATAAACTTGTCAATCAACGGTCAAGTTTAGCTAAATCCACGGCTTACACAATTTAACAATCTAATTACCAATCAACAACCAAGTCTAGTCAAATCTATGACTTATACAATTTACCAATCGACTTGTCAATCAATGACTAAGTCTAGCCAAATCCAAGGCTATCGCACTTTATCAATCGACTTGTCAATCAACGGCTTAGTCTAACTAAATCCACGACTATTACAATTTATCATTCGACTTTTCAATCAATGACTAAGTTTAGCCAAATCTACGACTTACACAATTTATCAATCGACTTGTCCATCAATTGTCAAGCTTAGCAAAATCCACGGCTTATATAATTTACCAATCGATTTGTCAATCAATAGCTAAGTCTGGTCAAATTCATGGTTAATACAGTTTATCAATTGACTTTCCAATCGACGACTAAGTTTAGACAAATTCATAGCTTATACAATTTATCAATAATTATTTGTTCGCCAACAACATCAATAACACAATAAAAAATTTATCATATACACTATATGTCACATCAACTTCATTTAGCAATTAGTATTATCATATCACAACAAGTTCACCATGCATCACGAAGACATAATCATAATGGACCATTCATTTCAAACGTGCATAATTCAACTTTTTACCTTAATCGTAGACTTATCCCGCCTAATAGAAAGATGGTACAACCCCAAGCCGACCGGGACCTCTGGACAATCTTAAACCACAAGGTTAAACTACAATAAAGACATGAACATCAAACAATAACAGTGCACAAAACTCGGTAAATTGGCCAAAAAATCACACACATGGCTCCTATATCATCCAAACTCAATCCAACAACTACTAAAATTATTCACAAGGATTTAGAGTACCTTTATAAATCATTTTCAAGTCAAAAGTCATTCAAACAAGGCTGAAAAATCAGGTCACGGGTCAAACGATGTCAATTTTATAATTTCAAAATCTCAAATTATATAATTAAAGTCCAATTGCAATAATATGTAAAAAACCTCATCAATTAACACTCCCACATACCAAATTAAGTTTACAAGCCTAATTTAGAAATCAATTTGGGAAAAATCGCACTTCAACTCAATTTCTCAAAATTGACATAAAATTCAATCGGTAAACAAAAAAAGATGTTCAAATACATCATTTATTTAACCAAAACCAAGCCAAATTCGACATGAACTCAAAACATCAAAATTCCCAAACTGAAATTACACAATTGAAAGAGGAACAAAGCTTGGATAATACTTTAGAATGAAAGTAAAATCCAAAAATATAAATTAGGTGAAAGATTTACCGTAAAACTCGACTTGGAATGGAATGAAGTGATCATCAAATTTATTTTCCAAACTTACCTAAGGTATTGCACAATCTGTAAAACATGAGATACTATTTAGATGATGCTATACACCTAAAGTCTATGGTAGTGCAAACTATTTATGAGTCGTGAGGCTGAACAAAGCAATATATTGCAATGAAACAAGAGGTGTAGGAAATATGTGGAATATGCATTCGGAGTTCTACAATCACACTTTGCAACTATAGACATGATCTTATTACATTGATAGTAGATAGTCTAGATACACCGCTTCCGTCGGTTGAAAAGATTGTCGATGAAAATGTTCGATTTTAAGAATTATTAGTCGACACAGACAAATTAAAAATAAAGAAGCACATATAATACTGTGTAATGCATTCATAAAAATATTTATAGGAGCAATACGTTAATCAAGATAATTTTAATGATTAATATATTAGTTTGTTTGTATTCGTATTTTATGCAGTTATTTATTTAATATAATTATAGTTTTATATTTTTTTTGTTCAACTAAAAAATATATATTCCCTCTGGCTCTAAGGTCCTAGACCATCTCCAACCGAAGTTTTCCTTTTTTTGGAGGGTGGAGAGAAAAAAAACTGCTCCAACCCCTGCAATTTTGCAGAATTCACCGGCTGGAATGAGAGGGTGTTTTTTTAAAAAAAAATATAATTATCTATTTATTTATATAATTATTTACTTATTTTTTAATATTATATATTTATTTATGTAGTTATCTATTTTTTTATGTTTATTTAATTTTTAATTTTTTAAATATCATCGATAAAATTAAAAATTGCATTAATTTTTTTATTTTGTTTATTTTATTTATATTTTATTCTTTTTTTATTTTTTTTAAGTTTATATTTTATTTAATTTTATTTTTGTTACTTTTAATTTTATTATTTTTTATTATAATTTTGTAATTAATATTTATAGTAAATTATTTATTTATTTAATATTTATTAAAATTTATAATTAATTGATTATGGTAAAATAATTATAAATTATTTATATTAAACATTATGTAAAATAAAATAGAAAGAGAATATTTTTTAAACCTGCAAAAATGGAGGGTATGTTGGAGAAGAGACCCTGCAAAAATAGAGGGTATGGTTGGTGATGGGTCACTGTAGTAGACTCTGCAAAAAATGTGCTGTAGATCCTACAAAAATAGATAAATGTACTGTAGACCCTTCAAAAATATGGAGTTATGGGTTGGAGATGTCTTATTTACCTTTTGTATGATTTTAATTAATATTAAAATATCATTATATTTGTATAATATTTTGTACAAATGTCATTCTATTAGCATTATAAGACACTAATTGAAATATTTTTTTTTAATTTTTTTTTAATTTGTACGTTTTTATATAATACTACTTCCGTCCGGCTCTAAGGATCTCATTTATTTTTTGTATGTTGATATTTGAATATTAATTATTATATCAAAACGTAGTACAAATTAAGAAAAAATTACAAAAATACTTCTATTGGTGTTTTATAATACTAAGAATATTTTTACAAAAAGTTATACAAATATAAGGATATTTTTAATGTTAAGTACAGTGACACAAAAGATAGATGTGACCTTAGTGGCGGACGGAGAGAGTAATTAATATTCAAAGATTAACACGCAAAAAGTAAATGAGATCTTAGAGTCGGACGGAGATAGTATTATATAAATACGTAATTAAAAAAAATTAAAAAAATATTTTAATACCAAACTCACCAAAAGAAACTCACCCTTATTAAACATCTTTGGAGTATATATATATATATATATAAACATGGTTGCAGATAAATGTTGGTTGCAGATAAATGTTGTGAAGATACTGGAGCGAGGCGAAGCGGTGTTGGAAGCAGCAAGACGCGGAGAACTCCGGCAGCTGGAATCGATGCTGGAAAAGGGCGCAGCGACAAACTTGTCGGATGAGTATGGGTGGACAGCTCTACATGTGGCGGCTATCAAAGGAAACAAAAATGTGGTGATGAGTCTGATCGAGTTTGGCGCAGACATGGAATGCCGGGACATTGAAGGGCACACTCCTCTGCATTTGGCGGTCGAGGGGGGGTGCATTGAGGTTGTGGAGATTCTCATCAACCGGGGGGCCGACCTTAATGCGGGTACGCAGAAAGGGGCGACTCCGCTCTTCATTTCGAAGCTGATGGAGCATGAAGAGATTGCACACCTGCTGTCGGACAGGGGGGCTTGCCCTCGCCCTCTCCCTGACCTTTAATTGGTGCTTAACTTTAGTTTTGTGTATTATTATTATTATTATTATTATTTGATTGAGGTATTGTGTATACTCAGAGTACTGTTAGTTTAAATGAATATTGTGAGAGCAAGTGTATCGTGAAATTGATTGAAAGATGATTTTTTTTTCGAAAATTACATACGCTCCGGAAGAGGCCCTGATGGGGGCTCCGAATTCGGCAGCAGTGGCTCCGGCTCTGACGGCGACAGTGGCAGCTCCGATGGCGTAGATCGAATCAGCAATCTTATCAACGGTCGATAATCTCACAAAATAATATCTAGTTTTTTTTATTATTAGTTTAAATAAATATTACAAAAAACAAGGGTACTATGAAATCTGAGTCGTGGATGAATCTTGTTGAAACGTGATTTGGATTTAGCGGTCTACCCGACCCGAAATCAAAGTGAAAGACTGTTTTAATTGGCATGATTCTTTTTGGGCTTATCCTAATTAATAACAAATGGGTTTAAGATAACTTGTTTATTTGCTTTCTTTCTTGTTAACTTATTATGAGAAAACGAACTCATTTGTTATTAATTAGGATAAGTCCAAAAGGAACCCTGCCAATTGAAACAGCCTTTTCGCTTTGGTTTCGGATCGGGTAGACCGCTAAATCCAAATCACGTTTCAACAAATCTTTTCTTTGAAAATTAGATACACTCCGATAGTGTCTCTAATGGCTGACGTTCTAATATAATGATAAAAATGTTTTTGCCTCTGATGAGAATGACACCTCAAATCAGCGAAGCTCTGATGAACAAAAGTGAGGGACAAACTAAGTTGGAGAGATTGCCGACAAATTAGAAGAAATGAGAAGATGGGAGGATGTTTGTGTGATTGAACGAATATGAGAGATCTTTCTTTTATAGGCACATTACTCGGGAGAAATAGGGAAACCTTTGCTGCAAAAGGCAATAATATTGTTTTTATAAAGTACAATTGTGACTAAGGTAGTGATATTGCTACCGTAAATTACAACTGTAATTAAGGAATAATTTGATTACGATCAAGATTTCCACAATCACAGCCGGATACAGTCTACATATCGGATAGAACATTATTGGGATCTTGGGCTCTCAACATTTGGGCTTGTCTTGAACTCCAAGATTTGGGTCTTGCGAGACAAAATTAAATGTTTGAAGTTTGGGCACGATTAATGGGTTGTGATGCAAAACTTTGCCTCGTCATGCATTCACCAAGCCCCAAGCCTCTCGACCTGAGCCCGAGCCCGTGCCCGTGTATGTGTCCGAGCGGTTGGGCGGCATGCGCGTGCATGTGGCTCACCGGCACTCTTGTGCCCCCCCAGTCACACTTCTTGCCATTTTTATTACCCAACTCAATATATATGTACGTTATTAGAGACGCAATTAAGCAATGTGGGACAACTTTCCACTTTCATTAGTTAATTACTTAACTAATTTATCCGAAGCCTATAATAACTTTTATCCCACGACTTTAATTACATTTCAATTCGAATAATTAAGAAAATCTCAATTAATTCACATGTTGATCCAATATATTTCTACTCACCGAAAATTTGGTTTTGAGAAATTTCGATTTTAATTTCCTTATAATTAAATTCCATCAAATATTTAAACCAATTTATTCAACAAGTACCGTGTTGAATGCATCCAAATTATCGGATCATAATATAGATTAAATTAACGTCATGGGCAATAGTATCATTTGTTTTGAATGTTAATTAGTTAGGAATCTTAGTCCATATTTATGAGTTTACATTAATCATTACTGATATAGAATATATTTAATTGTTAGGGATTTAAGCGCCTAAAGGTGCAATGAAATTGCGGAAACGGATCGAAACACAATTGAAGCACAAACAAAATATTGCAAAATACGAAAAGAACACAATATTTACGTGGAAAACCCAAAACGGGAAAAAACCACGGACAATGAGGAATCCACTAAATGAATCGAATATTTTCAATGTTACAAATCGAATGATTAACATCTCTCAACCCCCAAAAACATCCTCTTATCAATATCTATGCAAAAGGGGAAGTTTTGACCTTCTAACATGGAAAGTAAATCAAATCGATAGAGATCACCAATATATGGAATGATGGAGATATGAAATCGTAGGAAATCACTCATTGATCACGCCCATGACTCTAATGATTTGGTGCCAAGTCAACCTTGCCATCTTGGTCACGCCAGTGTAAAGCCTCCGAAATCTTCTGATTTGACAAGATATATAAAATCAAATCCATAACAGAAAAGTCCGCCTAGTCATGCCAATGACTAAGGTCGCCGGAAACTTCTGGAAACCTTGCCTTAAAGAGAATTTGAGGCACAATCCCAACAAACTCCACCTTGCCACAAATTCGATTCAAAAAGTAAACATCCTCATCGCCAAGTCCCCGACGGGACACTGAACAACTGCTAAGATTAACCAAGTCCAAACAATATTGGAACTTGGCAACGGCAAGTGGGTTAGTTAACATATCAACCGGGTTCTCGGACGTATCAATTTTGTCCACTACAACTTCACCTTTTAAGACCGTATCTCGAATAAAATAGTGCTTCACAGAAATATGTTTGGTCCTTTCATGATACCAATTATTTTTCGTCAAATGTATTGCACTTTGGCTATCACAAAATATAGTAAGAACCTTTTGCTCGTAACCAAGCTCCATGACAAGACCTCTTAGCCAAATCGCCTCTTTAACTCCTTCGGTAGCTGCTATATATTCCGCATCGGTGGTCAATAAAGCGGTAACCGACTGAAGTGAAGATTTCCATGAAATAGAACAGCAATATAAAGTGAAAATATATCCCGAAAGAGAACGTCTGCGATCAAGGTCTCCACCATAATCCGAATCAACATATCCAGTCAAATCCAATGAAGTACACTTATTTCTATCAAAAACCAAGCCAAGATGTGATGTACCTTTCAAGTATCGCAAAATCCACTTAACACCATTCCAATGAGACTTTCCCGGATTGTGCATAAAACGGCTCACAACACTCACGGCATGCGCCAAATCCAGCGTAGTGCAAACCATTGCATACATTAGACTACCAACCTCATTTGAGTACGGAATTTTCTCCATGTCCTCAACTTCATCTTCTGAGCAAGGTCTCAAGTTTTCGCACAATCTGAAATGCGCAGCCAAAGGAGTAGATACAGCTTTGCAAGATCGCATATTAAATCGATCGAGTACTTTCTCCACATACTTCCTTTGGGATAGAAATAACTTTCCGCCTTTTCGATCTCTGATTATTTCCATCCCAAGAATTTTCTTCGCAGCACCTAGCTCTTTCATATCAAACTCATTACTAAGCTTCGATTTCAACTTAACAATACAAGACATGTTACGTGAGGCAATCAACATGTCATCGACATAAAGCAACAAGTATAAAAATGAACCGTCAGAGAACTTCTGAAAATAAATACAGTCGTCATACTTGCTGCGAGAATAACCTTGCCCAATCATAAATGAATCAAACCTTTTGTACCACTGCCGCAGGGCTTGCTTCAATCCATAAAGCGATTTCTTTAATTTGCACTCCAAATTTTCATTTCCGGAAATGATGAAGCCCTCGGGCTGCTCCATATAGATTTCTTCCTCAAGGTCACCATGAAGAAAGGCCGTCTTTACATCAAGTTGTTCCAATTCCAAATCAAACATAGCAACAATACCGAGCAAAACACGAATAGAAGTATGTCGAACAATGGGAGAGCAAATTTCAGTGAAGTTTATATCTTCACGCTGACTGAATCCCTTGACGACTAGCCGTGCTTTGCAACGAGGCTCTTCAACCCCCGAAATGCCTTCTTTTTTCTTGAATATCCACTTACAACGTAGTGGACGCCTACCCTTCGGGAGTTCAACAAGATCCCAAGTGACATTCTTGTAGAGACTATTAATTTCCTCTTTCATTGCCATAAACCATTTAGGAGATTCGGCACAAGAAGTTGCTTTATCGTAATTTTTCGGTTAACCGACATCACCGAATTCTTGTGCCACGGACCGAGCATATGCCACCACAGAATCCTCTACAAATCTGGAATGAGGATGAATTTGTCTCCTAGGAAGATCTTTGGCAATTGAGTATGTATCATGTCTCACCGGAGCATTCAATGTGGTACTCGAACTAGATTCATCAACTTGCGGGTCGGAAGAGCTAGGAACATCAGCAATGGGTAGGAACATCATTGGCAACTCCACCTTCTCTCCAAATTGCTGCTGGTAATTTGACGAGGATGTCGAACCTGCAGCTGAACCATTTCCAGAAGACAACATAGATTTTTCGTCAAAAGTAACATCTCGGCTCAAAACTACATTGCATGATTTACCATCCGCGTTCCATAAAGGGTATCCTTTCGACTCAGTTGAATACCCAAGGAAAATACACTTCAAAGCTCTCGGAGCTAATTTTCCTTCATCAATATGCATGTACGCGGGACATCCAAAAATGCGCAAAGAGGAATAGTCGACCGGATTACCTGACCATATTTCTTCTGGGATTTTAAAGTCAATAGCGGAGTGTGGAGATCGATTTACCAAATAGCATGACGTCGAGACAGCTTCAGCCCACAAATCACGCCGATTCTATAATCCTGCATTCGAAAGCATACACCGAGCTCTCACCAATAAAGTCCGATTGACTCGTTCTGTGACGCCATTTTGTTGGGGCTTTCTCGGCAAGGTCTTATGACTCATAATACCATGCGATGCGCAAAATTCATTGAATTCATCACTACAAAATTCTAAGCCACGGTCAGTTCTAAGAAATTTTATTTTCTTACCCGTAAGATTCTCCACAAAAGCTTTCCACTTTTTGAAAATGTCGAAAGCTTCATCCTTCCGCCTCAAGAAATACACCCAAATTTTCCGGAAAAAATCATTAATCAATGTCATAAGGTATCTTTTCCCAGTAAATGATGGAACCTTCGACGGTCCCCACAAGTCGGAGTGAATATAATCGAGCACGCCATATGTACGATGAGAGACAATAGAGAAACCGATCTTCTTTTGCTTTCCGAAAGCGCAGTGTTCACAAAATTCTAAATTTGTGATTCCTTGATCACCAAGAAGACCTCTAGAGCTTAACATCTTCATTCATTTTTCACTCATATGGCCCAAACGCAAATGCCATAATCGAGTGA